GAGGAAAAAAAGCAGCATTTTTTTTAATCTCAAAAAAAAATATTAAAACGAATTTCATACCTTCCTTGGAAGTAGAAGAGAGTAATTCTTCTGATGCTCTTTGACACCAGAATTTATTAGGAACTTCCTGTTCTCCATTTTTGAGTACCGTTTTCCATTTAAATAAACTTTGGTGTTTTTTATGCATATTAGGACCTGCTATAGTATCACAGAGCAAAGGAGATGAACTTATTTTGTTTTCTGTACCCATTTTCAAATCTTTTTTAATCTCCATTTTTATCTTCTCAACATCATTATTTTCTCCAAAGTAATTTTCTTGGCCACTGTTGGTTTCCACAGGGCTTAGAATTTCATTTTCCTTACTAATTTCATGGAACATATGAAGTTCTTTAAGTACTAAATCAAATTTACTCTTCATCTCAAAATTGTTTGCTATTGTCGGAGTTTCTGTTGACAAACACTTGGCAGTTAAGTCCTGAAAACATTCATTGTTCCCTACACTCAAATGAGTTTCAAATAGATGATTAACACATTCTGTAGCATCATTCTTTGGATGAAAATGCTTTGAATTAACTAACTCACTTTTTTGCAAAATACTCTCATATTCATTTCTGTCAGCTACATTATTTTGATTAACATATTTAGTTTCTTCCACATCAACTTTCTTACTCATTATTGAAACTGGTAGCACAGCAAACATGCCATCCATTGAATAAAAACTATTCTTCTCTTCCTTTTCTATCTTAATATCTTCATGCACTCGGCAACTGTCTGTTAAACTTTGTGCTGTGACTTTTACTTCCTCCTTCAAAATTAAGTCATGTTTTTTTCCTTCAGTTTCACTTATCAAGTTCCCAAAACTTAGCACCTGAGTTATAGTTGTGGGATTGGTTTGTTCACTATATTTTGTGTCTTGGCTTGCCAGTGTAGCCTGTTGCCTAATATTGAAAAAATCTTCAAGTACGCGTTTAAAATGGTATCTACTGATCTTACTATGCTTTTGTTTTCCTGCAGTATCTAAATCTTGGTTCTGTGCATTCATTCCATAAATGTTTTTATTAATACATTTCTGGTTGTTCTGTATGAGTTGAGAACCAGACTTAACATGTGTTTTAACAGTTTTAGGACTACAGTGAACCCAATTTTCCACATTCATGAGTTGTTCAGGACAACTCTTATTCTTGTAACTAATTTCTTTTGTCAAAAACATTTCATCCATGTCATCAAAGTCCATTAAAAGAGGAATTTTTTCATATGTTTCAAAAATTGGAAAATGTGTATTTTTAGTTGTCATACTAAAGGAATTGATAAGTTTTTCCTCAGACTCTTCAAAAACTTTTTCAGTTTTAAATAGTCTTCTTTTCTCTAACATAGGTTCCATATTATCTTCTAATAGTCTTGAAAAAGTTAAAATTCTGACTGGATATACAGTATGATTTTCCACTGTAACATTTTTTGGATAATTCAAATATATTATCCACTTGGAAATGCATTCCTCTTCTAATTTAGAATCATTTTCAATTCGGGTTAAACAGTCAAAGTGATTAAGAAGTAAAGCTATGCTAGTTTTCAAAATAATATTTTGAGGGTCTGAAACACTGGTTTGTAAATTTATGCTTAAAATATCATTTTTTCTATTGACAGTCATATTCTCAGTTATTAGATTTTGAATATCAATTTGCTTTTTACACTTCAAAGTTTCATACCAGGTTAAAATTCTATTATCTTTTTGATTTCCTGAAATACTTTTATAGAAATAAAAAATTTCTGTGATGAAACTTTCAAAAGTATTGCTAAAATGAAAG